CTTGTAATCAAAGCAAACAACAACTTTTCAAAAATCCAAAAGAAAAGGCAAAAACCCTTGTTAAGGCCCCAGACTTACCCCATAATAGTATTTAAGTTCCTAAACTAAAAACAAAATAAATAAACCCTCAAACTTCACTAATGATGCAAATAAATCCTTCTCATTCATGGATGTTCATGCTTTCAAAGTGATATTAAACATAATATATCGTTTGACTCATTTGTGAAAAAAACTTATGTACATTATTAGTGGAATTTGAGGGTTCATTTATTTTATTTTTAGTTTAAAAACTTATATATTATCTTGAGGGAAGTTTGGGGACTTAAAAAGGGCTTTTGCCAAAGAAAAAAAAGGGGGCAAACAACAAATTTGAAATGCTAACCATTCAGAAATTAACATATTTTGGCTGCTGCCCTTCAATTTTTGCTTTATACACCTATAGTTGCAAGAGAACTCTAGAGCACTTTTGAATCCGATTTGCTTACTTTGGTAAACCTGCAAAGCCTCGAGGTGAGTCCCCGGGGTAGACACTTCGATGCCTAAGTCAGCAGTAATCAAAGCTACCAAATGTGAATCAAGAGCGGAGCTTGAGTTCGATTTTAATTACCTTTGGGGAGAACCCTGGGGGGGTATTTATAGCCTTCAAAGGGGGCATCCACGTGTTGTTCTTTATGAAAAATCAAGATTATATGTGTCGATGATCCCATAAGGTTTCCTTACAATATCTTTGCGCGTACGGAGTTACTGTAGAGTAGGATCAAGGGGGATGAACTCGAGCTTGTTGCTCCCCGTTGCCAAGGTGACTAAGTTGGAGGTAAGTCCTGATGCTTAAGGTACTCGACCTCGGGCTATGTGAGATCAGATTGTGACCTCGGACAACTACGGGTTGTGTGAGGTCAGACTGTGATCTCGGACTACTACCACTACACTATTCCCCCCTTGAAGTCATTCACTTGTGAATGATGAAAAGGGTTGAGTTGGGTATGGAGTGTAATGTGGCAGGGGCTGGAGTAAATACAACATGTGAGGTAGTAAGGCTAGAGCCGAAGTCAATCATGGTGCCTGGTCATTCGGGGCGGCTAGGGTCGAAGTGAAGTCAAGGTCGAAGTGAAGGTCATGACATGTGATCATGTGGTACGGTTGGGGTCGAAGTAAAGGTCATGACACGTGGTCATGTGGTGCGGCCGAGGCCGAAGTAAAAATGATGACATGTGGTCATATGGTGCGGCCGGGGCCAATGTAAAGATCATGACATGTGGTCATGTGGTGCGGTCGGGGCCAAAGTAAAGATCATGACACGTGGTCATGTGGTGCGGTCGGGGCCAAAGTAAAGATCATGACACGTGGTCATGTGGTGCGACCGGGGCCAAAGTAAAAATCATGACACGTGGTCATGTGGTACAGCCGGGACCGAAGTAAAGGTCATGACACGTGGTCATGTGGTGTGGCCAGGGCTGAAGTAAAAATGATGACACATTGTCATGCGGTGCGGCCGAGGTCAAAGTAAAGATCATGACACATGGTCATGTGGTGCGGCCGGGGCCGAAGTAAAAATTAGGAATGAGTGTGAGATGACGAAAGTAGTGAACATGGTTTGGTTTTGTTTGGATCGGTTTTTGAAATAGAACCGGAAGGGAAAACAGTAATATATCAAAAATTAGTTCGAGGGGGACAGCTGTCCTCGAGTGATGCGCTGTAATAAATGGCGTAGTTAGGAATAACTACCAAATTCGAAAGGTCGCACTTGTTGCCATCGGATATGGACGATCGTGACCGTTGATAGACCAGGAGGCTTTAGTATAAATACCTGGGGTTGACCTATTCAGAATTTACCTTGCTGATTTTATAGCGAAGCGCTACCGAAGTGAAACGAGATCATCTCGCCATTTGAGCTCGTGATTTTTCTGAAAATTTCCAAGTGTTCTACTTTGGTCGTCACAAGTTCAGGTAATCTCTTGAACTCAGCTTCTAATTTCGGAGTCTAATCTAACTGGTTTGGTTTTAGACCTAACTCCAGTAGAGAATTTTAGGGGTAGGTTTGAGATCAAAGTAGGAAGTTTAACTGTTCTTATCCTACTTGTAGTGAGTCACAAAAGATGTCATCAGAAGAGACACTAAGTATTGGAGGTGGCGAGGGGGAGCAAGGACTAAGCTTGACCAACATGAGTGAAGTGGAGAGCTCAAGGAGTGAGAGGAGTGGGGGGGGGGGGTTGGAGGTGAGATGGAAGAAATGGGGATTCCTTCCAACGTGTTAGAGGTAGATCCTAATAGGGCGAAGTTCTATAATGAGGAGGAGGAGGTGGTGTCAGAGGTGGTGGGGTATGAGAGTATGTGGAGGAGGAGGAGTGACCTCTCCCACCTAGTAGAACAATACGTCATTCCGGGGCACGTCCTACTTAGGTCGGC